AAAAATACGCGACCTAAATTTCAATATTCCCATCCCATCATTTAAAAAACATATTTTAAATTTGTGATATTATTCATATATTCATTAATCAAATTAAATCCGCCGACCCCGGCCTAGCTAAAACCTAGGCGGGGAGGCGCCCGAGACACCGCAGGGTGCAACATTGACATTGGCATCTCTACCTCTGCTTTCATGTCCTGGCATTAGTATTCCTACCTCTGTTTTCATGTCCTGGCATTGGCATCTCTACCTCTGCTTTCATTGGCATCTCTACCTCTGCTTTCATGTCCTGGCACTACCACCAAGCCGTAGGCGGTTCATGTCCTGGCCGAGCCACCACCCCGTGGGCTGTTGGCTTTTTTGAACCGGAGCCTTGGAACTATTTTATGGGTTCCAGAAGCAACGTGCTAGGTGACGTCAAGCATTTTGGTTGGCTGCACCCCCCCTGTTCCGACCGCTTTTGTGGGCAGAAATAGATGGTGTCGTTTGCCACCCCGGAAATGCGCCGCTGCGGCTGCATTCTGCCTACACGCACACCGAGTCTGAAAGCTGTGGCGAGACAGATTGGCGGAGCCTTGGGAGTGAGCCTCTGGCAATGCCAGGCAACTATTTTACGGGTTCCCGAAGGTAACGTGCCAGGTGACGTCAGGTATTTTGGTTGGTTGTATCCTTTCCCGTTCCGATTGCTTTTGTGGACAGAAATAGATAGTGTCATTTGCCACCCCAAAAATGCGCCGCTGCGGCTTTTTTGAGCCGGAGCCTTAGGAGTGAGCTATGGCAATGCCAAGCAACTAAAGGCCTCATGCACTGCGAAACCCGCTGGTTTGCTGCACGCGTACATCCTCCTGACAGCTGTGGCGAGACAGATTGGCGGAGCCTTGGGAGTGAGCCTCTGGCAATGTCAGGCAACTATTTTACGGGTTCCCGAAGGTAACGTGTCAGGTGACGTCAATTATTTTGGTTGGCTGCGCCCTTTCCCGTTCCGATTGCTTTTGTGGGCAGAAATAGATGGTGTCGTTTACCATCCCGGAAATGCGTCGCCGCGGCTTTTTTGAGCCGGAGCCTTAGGAATAAGTCTCTAGCAATGCCAAGGTATATTTTATGGGCTCCCGAAGGCAATATAACATACAGGTAACGTAAGGCATTTTGTTTGCCTACAACCCGCCCCCCTATTCCGACCACTTTTATAGGCAGAAATTTATGGTATCGTTTGCCATCCCGGAAATGCGCCGCCGCGATTATATCCTACCTACATATATACCGAGCCTCTAACAATACCAAACAACTATTTTATAAATTCCCGAAGGTATAAAATCGATAAATAAAAACATTAAATTTCTAAAACGACAATTATTTAAGAGAAAAAAATCTTTTATATGCGGTAATAATTTAATGCAATTTAATTATCTAATTATATTTATAATAATATTTATAAAATTTCAAAAAAATCTACTAATTTAATATAATTATATATTAATCATATTAAAATTTCATTTTAAATTTTTAAAAAAATATCCACCAATATCAAATAATTCCTCCTTTCAATTCTTTTCAATTAATCATTCCGATTTAAATCCCCTTCCAAATCCCCATATTAATCGATTAAAATTCAAAGCCAAATACGATAATTAATACTCAAGAATTTACCAAAAAATCAAAGATTTTTAATGTTTCATTTATAAAAAACAAAACATCGACGAAACCAAAGCGAACCCTTACAATATATATATATTTTTTTTTTTTTCATTATCAATTAATAAATATATCCAAATATTATCATCAATAATATTCCCAATATCAATCCCCCCATAATATCATCGCCCTCTATTAATCATAAATCGTTAAAATTACAAAAACAATTTGATTGAATTACATTATGACTTATATTATCCATAAATACCATAAATATATCTTTCAAAAGAATTTAAAATATTCTATCCTATTCACTAATTACAATATTTTGTTTTTTTTTGGGGAAAGGGTGCGCCTTCGGCCAATGATCTTTGACCTCCACGTCGGCTTTCCGTGTCTGTGCAAGTGCTACAATGGTCCTAAAAAGTGCCCATTTGGGCCTTCCTCCCCGATTCGCACATTCGTGGCTCCTCGGAGCTCGCCTCGCATCAGTCTTCCAAATTGAATCACATGAGCCGTCGCATGTGGAGCTGGGACTCAGCTCATACACCCGGCAACCACAGAAAAAGCTGGTCTTGTGGTGACTGGCTAAGGATTCAATGTCAAGTGCCTCAAGGACCGGGAAGGAATTAAATGTCTAGGACTAGGACCTCCGCCAAAATATAAACGAATAGGTTGAGAGCGGTAAGGGCATCATACAAGGGGTGAGCCTTGCATACCCTTGGAGGCTTGTGTTAGTGTCTTAGCTTACTATTTTGCACTGTTAAGAACCCGAAAGCAACCACTTACACGAGTTCATGCTTTCTTAGTTTGGTTCCCTGAGTCCCCATGCTTCATAACCTTAATTCACCATGAAAAACCACCAGACCAAACCTACCCAAGAAAAGACCGTGCAGTTTTCTGGTCTTGTTCATAGTTCTTCTCAAAGAAGGCGACTTTCTCTTGAACATTGCACTACTCAACATCGACCCTAATTCCTGGATCCTTACTTCCATCCAAAACCCAAGCCAATTTCTCGATTCTCTTTGATTTCCGCATCTGTACATTGTACATTTGTGTGAATTTAGGTGGCTGTTGGAAGGTTGCCAGGTGTATCAGCCCGATGCTTCAGCAGCCGTGGGGGATAAAGGTGCTGCGTCCGCGGCTTCCGCGCCCGGTGCCGGGTCTGGCGGCTTGCCATTGGCCGCGTCACCCGCAGGGGCTGGAGAACCTGACCGAGGGCAATGTGAAATCATTGTTGAACTTCAGCGTAGATTCAGGAGATCGTCTCACATGGTTGGGGCTCTGAACGACAACTACAATCAAACCCATGTAAACCATGGAGGCGTTGCTAAAGAGGCTGATGCGATTCATGTCTCACTTGGTCTCCGCGGAATGGATTGTTCCTCTGGCAGCTTCAATGCAACGCCATGTCATTCACCACCCTCAAGACGTGCAAAGATCCACTCAGGCCAAGCCAGTGTAAGTTAAACAATAATAGACTACTGATGATTAATAACAATTTACCCCCAATTGAATTGGATTGTAAAACCTCTTCAAATATCTTCAAATTGCAACATGGGGGTTGAGTCGAGATATAGTTAATCAACAGTCTAGAGTACAAGATTCTTTGGTAAATCTGCCCAGCCATGTCCCTCACAGCTGGGCGTCCCTGCAGTTTTTGGCTGGCACCTGCCAGGTCCGACCCAAGCAAAGGAATATCATTCATGGCGTACAGTATCATGACCAAATGCTCTTGAAGACTTGCCTCTTCAGAATTGAAACAGGATGCAACGAGGGGAAACAAAAAGAACTACCAAACACCATCCCCAACATTCCCAACTACCACGGCGGGACTCAAAAGTGAATTATACAATTATACAATGTTGTCTATATGAATATACAGCTGTCAAGACATTTCTGCTGTCAATACACTATAGCACTGAGGCTGGAGCTACGCTGCCGACCATCATTAAGCACTGACCAGGACGCACAAGATCCTGCCACAAAAGCAGAGTTGAGCGGAAGAGCAATGAAACACTTGTGCAGAAACAAAGGACATTGTGTATCGGTGAAAGCTAGGGACCCCAAACTGGCACAAGTGTTGTTGTTTGGCAATCTTAGCACAGGGCAGGACTGAGTGAGTTTTGAAAGCCAACCTAACTCCGAGATCAACCAAGTGAGTCACTTTGAGTATCTAGGAGCTTCAACGACTCAAGGCAATTGTATCCTGCAATAGGTATCCAATCCTAACTCCAAATGCCCCTCAGGCAGTTTGGTTCTCATTTACCCTGCAAATTCCAACAGTTGAAACAAGAACACTTGTCTGATTCACCCATGTTGTGCATACGCAAACATAGGTCTCGGGTGACCCTCCAAATGTCGCAGGTCAAGAACCCATCCCACACCCTTCCTTGGTCCGAATTAATGTCCATCTCCAAACAATTGCACCCATACAGGATGAAATTGGATGAATGGACCTAATAGCAATGGCTGCCATCCTAGTAGCGATGGCCTCCACCCTCAGAGCGATGGCCTCCCCCCTAAGAGCGATGGCCTTCAACCTAATAGCAAAGAACTGGACGGTGGATGCATCCAACACTTCCCTCCTTGATCTCTTGCCATGTAGGCTCATTCACCGGCGGTGAAGTGTCTTCATTGATCGGCAACCTGTCCGGTGACCGTGGCCCTGATGTTCCAACTACCTCCGCTGACCTCCACATTTGATAAACTAAACCATCCAGTGATTTGTGCTTCTCTCATCGATGTGGGTGTGAATTGTGAATGTGTTTGATGAAACTGCATTTCGGTTGATTGAGCTGTTGTCAGCAAAAGCCATAGTTTTCGTTAAGTCAGCTCTGCATATCTGATATCTTGTATGGAATACCGACGCCGATACCGTATAGTATGTACAATTGAAGTCATGGATTTCGGATGGTTAGTTGTGGTATTGTAATTTTTGGGCCGACATGAGCTGACAACCTATGGTCAAAACATGTCAAAACTCACTACTGGTCTACAAACGCTGCAAATAATAGTACACAATAGTACTCAGCTGCCTGTTCAACAGCTGTAAACAAAGAATCCCCAAGTCTATGTCTCAACAGGAGCCACCAAGAGGCCGCTTTTGTCATTCGATTGGAGCGATACACATCTGCAACTGACTCTCTTAGTTTCCCTGAACAATAAAGGTTGACAGTCTTCCACCTGTTCGTTTTGAGAGGGGAAACCAAGCCCCAAGAATGGTTTCAGGTAATCCACTGACGGGTAGGGCAGAATAGAAATGCTCCTCAGATCTTTGTAGAGACATGGTCTGCAGCCCAAAACAACCTCAAACGTGATCTGACTAAAAAGACTTGGTCACTGTAGTAGTGGCCTAACTCAAGCTCTCAATTAAGCAGCCCCCTAACTGTAAGTCTGTGCTTCCCACTTAACACGCGGTTTGTGCTTCCTCTCATGTTGAGAGAGACGACCTTGTAGTCATTTGTATAGTGAGGTGCCCTGAGGCGACCAAGGCCCCTAACTCGATGCCTGCGTCCGCCCAGGATCAGAGTCTGCCGAATGGCCGGCACACCTGGAGCACCAACATGAGAAACTTGGCAACTGCCACAAGGATGGGTTTGAGTTTCCAACCTAGTCTTTGCTGCATCGGATTTCCAGAGTTTGGGGTTCCAAGCGGTCTAACACACGGTCCAAGCCCTGTTCTGAATGCTTGCCACTGGATTATTCGATCGTGCTCCATCTATTCATCTGCTTTTACTCTCCAAAGTTGAGCCCACAACATGGCCCTCCTTGATCGCCCGAATCGCCACCACCAAGGCCCCATACGGGTTTCGAAGACCCTCCCAAGGCCTGTGACTCGGTGGATGTGCACCCGCAGCTCGCTAATCGAGGCAAAGTCGTCCAGGTTCACCGAGAAGGATTGGCCCGACCTCCCGGATTGGACTGAAGCTGTTCGGGCACAAGCACAACACATCACAACACTACCAAACCGATGTTCGGCTTTATTCAAACAGGGACATCTGTCGACACCTCTCGCGCGCAGCGCTCTGAAAGGATTCGTGGGTTGGATCCTCTATGATCTTCTAGTAGCAAGGTGCATCGCTACTAGTAGCAAAGGCATTACTACTAGTCAGTGACAAGAAGCTACTAGTAACAAGGGCACTACTACTAGTAGCTAGAAGCTACTACTAGCAGGGGCATCGCTACTAGTAACAATGTTCTTTTCATTTTGGCCCATCTCCCCGTGCCCTCAACGAAGGTCTCAGCATCCGCGCCATCGAAGCTTCACCGTGGGAGGTCCCACTCGTGCCTGGCCCAGCCCAGCCCATCAGAAAGCATTGCTCAGTTACTGGTAGCGTCCTTGTTACTAGTAGTAGGGCCAGGAGCTACTAGTAGCGTCCTTGCTCCTAGTAGCGATGCCCTTTGCTCCTAGTAGTTTCTTCTTACTAGTGCGTTTCTTACGGTCCGGCCGGTCCAGAAAATCCCAAGGTGGGCCGTGAAGGTCAAGACTCACTTGCGGCTTTAAGGGTATGCCTGACTTGGTACTTTACAGGATTCTGGAGCTTTGCTCTATCACAAACTGGAGGTATAACCTGGCATGACTTCACAAAGGCGTTTGACAGCCGTTCATATCGATGTGTTTGACCAGAAGAGAGCTGATTTCAAATTCGCTTCTGACGGACTACTCAGCGAATCGGTTCATGTAAACCATAGTGACATAGTGGTTATTCATGTTTTTATGCATACATATAGAGATTCACGTTAGAGATTCCTCAGCAGTATTAGGCTCAGTCTACTCTTCCTCAGTCTTCTTGGGTACTGACTCCTGAGCCTGAAACCCCATGAAGCAAGTTCAGTATACATCATGTTTGGTCGAAGCAAGTCTTGTCCTTGCTGCAAGTCTTGTCCTTCGAAATTGGTCTTGCCCATGGGCTCTGACACACACAAAGCACCACAAATGAGCAGTGAGGCGATGGCGCCATCAACAAAATCAATAAACCTGACTCTAACTTTAGCTAAACAAAGTACTGCCGGTATGATCAAGTTGATGGATTGTGCCCAATGAATCTATCAGGTCTATCAGAATGAAAACCGGTACAAATTTTGAAAGGACATGCAACAGAATCAAACAACTCCTTGGTCAGCATGCAATCCATGCCTTCCTCTGCACCGGCAAAGGGGCCTTGAGATTTCAGCATGAGTGGTGCTTCTGTCCCATCATCTGTCTCTGTCGATATAAGATAGCAGTTTGGATACTCAAAATGCCCTTGATCATTCAACCTGCAGTGGTATGCGGCTCAGAATCAATATGTCACTACCTGGTATCTCCTGCTGGCGGAGTTACTATGTATCAAGGAAACGGCCATCTCGCACTGAGAAGATGACTCCGGGAGCCAATTGCCTTGGTGCAAATCTGAGGCTTTGTAGAAACAAGAAGCTACTAGACGTTCTGGCATCGCTACTAGGAGCAAGGACGCTACTAGGGGCTCCTGGCCTTACTACTAGGAGCAAGAAGCTACTAGGCTTCTACTGGGCTATGGTCATACTAGCTTTGTGTCTAGTGATTTCACCAAGGCTATGTGGTTGATGTTGAGGTTGTACTTTCCATACAGGTGTAGCACGGATTCAAAAGTGGCACTGGCACATGGAGGAGCTTTCAAGCCTTACACGCTCATCGATCCATGTCACAATTACCATGTTGGCATTGCCTCTAGTGTGGAGTGGAAGTCATTGCAGACATAGACTTTGCAGAAAGAATTAGATTGACTTCATATCAAAGACTACCAACAAACAACCCAATTGGCACATCCCAAACAACCGCATCCACCCCGAAACGCTGTCACCAAGCTAGCGCAGCTAGTGTGCGTGGGGCGCACGACTCGGGCCACCGCGCCTCGCCGGCATGCCCCCATACTTGGCACCGTGACTTGGGAAGAAGGCCTTAGTGAGAGACCTCTCTCGAAGAATGTCTGGTCGGTCTCCGGAACAATCTGAACTCTTTCGTGCCCCCCAAAAGGAAGTTCGTAGTGTAGCCAGAACAAGGTCTTCTCCAAACAGAAGAGTTTCAAACTGAAAAACTTCTCTTCAGTTCCCAAATTTCTCGGGACTCCAAACGAAGAACTCCAGTTTCAGCGAAAACGGACACTTGAAATCCAGATCCTGAGTCTTCCGCATCGTGCGCGCCAGTGCGCCCCATCTTGGGTGAGAGGTTGAAGGGGTTGGAGCCTCAGGTCGGTGGGGAGAACCGTGCAGCTCATTTGGATACAGGTATGGCTTTTCCTAAAAAGAACGACGAATATGGTTTCAGAAACAAGTCTCTTTGACTTCACTCTTGCTCTTTCAGCTACAACACAAATCAATCAAAATGCTGCCAGATGCTGCAATGTCGCACATGTCAAGGAGATATCCACACTCTCGTCGCAAAACGTCTTGCATGGTCAGTCCAGGACTAAGGACAGACTCATTGTATGTCTTTGAAATACCAGGAGTCAACCAAGCCGCAATGTTCAACAGTAGGTTGGAGGCCATTGCTATAAAGTTGTTCTAGTTGCATACCCCCAAAGGGGTTTTTGGCGGGGCTCCGGCTCCAATCATGGTGAGCACCAGGAACAAAGTCCTCGCACAGGAACAGTTGCCGCAGTCAGAAGAAGCTGATCGAGTCGTATACGCGGCGGGCTGAACTTTTGGGCCACGATGCTCAAACATCGAACACTCCTCCTCTGTCGCGGACGGTGTTCGTCCAAGACAGGATGGTAGCGGAGTCTGGCAGTTAGAAGATAGTCTTCTGTAATTCACTGGGTTCTTGCTGTTCGAAGCTCATGGTTTCCATGTGTTTCGAGATGGTCTTACGATCACTAGACTTGGTCAGGATGTCGCTACAGTTAGAGTGTGTTCCGATCTTCTTCACCACCAGCTCATGCCGCGCAACGCACTGCTGCAGCCAAAGGAATCGGACCTGCACGTGCCGTTGCTTGCCTAAACCCTGGCGCGAAGCAAAGCTTTTCGCGCTGCTCGAATCGCTCTCGAGCACAATGCCTAACTCGATGCCGATGTCCAGGAAGTAGGACTGCATTCCAAGACCATGTGCAGCTCCGTGCGTCAAGGCGTAGAACTCTGCCTCCGAAACATTCAAGCCAAGCACGCTCTGCAAATTGCTTGTTGCTTTCAAAACATGCCGACCGAAGAACTGCACCATTCCGGTTGTTGATCTCCTGCCAACTTTGTCTCCAGCGAAATCGCTGTCCACCGAAATCCTGATGTAGTCCGGCATCTTCTGCTGGTGATACACCAAACTGACGTTGGGAAACTGGAGCAAGTAGCGAGCAAGCCTCTTGAGCATCTCCCAATGTGCCAACCTGGGCTTTGCCATGCCCTGCGCCAATCGCTTCACAGCCTCAGCGAAGTCAGCAAGCTCCTGGGATAAAAAGCTCGCACGCATCACTCCCGATCTGTATCGGGATGCATCCTTCGGACTCAACTCTGCCGAAGTCTCCAATGCTCCTGCTTGTGCATCTGTGGGCTTGATGGATGGCGTGGACACTCCAGCTGACTTCATGCTCAGGCCCACACCTTGAACAATCAACTCAACATGCCGCTTGTCGGGTTCGATGCGGACCCAGCGGCGACCATCTGTAGTGCCCAACCTCACAACTCTGTTCAACACTGTTGCCTCCTGCACGCAACCTGTTGTAAAACCCAAGCGATGACTCTCTCTCATCTGATACTTGGACCCAAGAAGCTCCTTCACTTTGTCAACTGCTTCAACCGGTCCAAGAACATAAAAATCATCACCATGGACTGCTCCTCGTGAACACTCTTCTGCATTGTAAAACAACGCCGGGTTAGCTGCTCCAACCCTGTAACCGCCTCCACGAAGAAGTTCTTGCCAGTCCAACATCCACGCATGGCTTGCGTCTCTGAAACCATACATGCCTCTGTTCAACCGACCGACAATGTCGCCTTCTTCCGGCTTCTTGTCCTCCTCAGGGATCTCGACATAGAGCTCTCGCAGAACCTTGGGCATGAAATGAGCCCTGGAGATGTCAAACACTCCCATGACCAACTCCTTGTCCTGCTTCTCAAAGTCGGTGACCAGCAATGAAAACAATGCCTTCACCATCTCCCATGGAGGTGTAGCCGAAAACAACTCATGAGCTAGAAGCGCCTCCTTGGTCTTCGCCTTCAGCTCCTTGCCAACTATTCTTGACCTCACCTTGTAATGAGCTTTGTCTCCTTTGTTGACATCTACCCACCGGACCGGTAGGATTGGTTTGCCACTTGCAACTGCTTGACTTCTAGGAACTTTGTCATACAGTCCAATCTTGTGGATCCATCCGATCTCCTCTGCACGCGCCTCCTGAACCAACTTCGGTGGCAGCTGTTCACCTGAAATGTCATCATAAAACTGTTCAACCTCCTCTTGAAACTCCTCTGGGAACAACGGCTCTGTAGGATCAGGACCACTGGAGTATGCCTGAATTGAATTCAAACAATCATCAACCATCATCTGGTTCTTGATGCCCTGGAGGACCGTGTACACCAGCTCGTCCGGGTACTTGGCGCAAAGATGAGCCAATCCACCAATGAGCGAAATGTGACGATGCAATGGTCCACCAGTCCTGTTTGTGCAATGCCTGTCCAACAACCTTGCAACTTCTTTGGAGTTGGTGACGAACTTGGTTGCTTTGTACACCAACCCTCGACCCTGCTTGGGAACTTCCAGACCCATGCCCCAAGCACACATAGGCCCGACCACAGTGAAAACTCCTGCACGCTTCTGAAGCTTCACCATTCGTGGATGATCCCAAGACTTTGCTCCAACGGGGTGCTCATGAAGAAAGTACTTGCCCTTCTTCCAACGCTCCTCATACAAATCAATGCTCAAGCAAAGATGTCGTTCTCCTCGCTCCAAAGCCTCTCTGTTCTTGGCATTGTCGAGGTAGTACTTGTTGAGGTTTTGCGAAACACTGAAAGGGTCACAGCGCGGACTGCCTGTGAGCATGAAAGGATCTTGCACTTCGATCAACTCCTTGAGCTGCTTCATGTGGTCGGAGACGTCTAAATCCCAACCTGTCTCAAGGTCAACAGCGAAACCAGCATTGAGCCCCAAATGCGAAGCTCCTCTTGTGAACCTTGGCGGGCTGAACACTTCCGCCACATCAACTGCGCCAAGCTCTTGCTTCTTGGCCTCAATCTTCCTCTTCAAGCAGTCGATCGACTCGACTCGCTTCCACTTCTTCTCCGACATCACCTCCTCCTCGTAGTCGAAGCCGAGGTAGGAAATGTCATTTGCTGGATCCTGTTTCTTGTGTGCTGCTGTCGAACCTGAAGCCGCTGCCAAAGACGAACCGGCCTCTCCTCTCGCAAGCACCTGCTCTATTGTGGTGTCGCTTGCACCCACCGCCACAACTGGCGGTTCACTTGGAACGACAACCTCAGCCTCCTCTGCTTTGGATGCCGATGGATCGAGCTCCTCAACTACAACCTCTGCTGCTCTCTTGTACTGCATGTGTCCGACGGACTTCCACCTCTTGCTAGGCGACTCGGGGCTAGACGGCTCACTCCGCTTTGCCCCTTCCTTCTCAAACTTCTCCTCGATCCTCACCTTCTTCTTAGGTGCTGCACTGCTCTCATCCTCTCCTTTCCTCAACCTCTCAGCCTCTGCATCTGCTCTCTTCTTGAGCTCCTCCTCCTTCTGCTCTGACCTCAATGCGACCCTGTCTGCATGCAACTCGACTCTGCGAGGGTCGACAAGTGCAACAATCCGACGACGGCATTCGTCGGAATGAGCCACTGGACGGGCTCCGGCCTTGACGGCCGTACAACCTTTGCAGTTGTCCGTGAAACCATGACGTTCCACGTCGGCTTTGCGCACGTAAAAGGCTCGTGCGTCTGGCGGGAGGCCCGGCGTTGGTGGTGCCAGCCTCGCACGCCCAACTGAAGGCAACGCAGGTCGAAGATGCGTTCCTTCTCGAACACCTGTTCGTGATGCTAGATCCCAAGGGAATCCAGCCAACTCCTCAATGCCATCTGTGCTCCATCTCTGGTTGGTGGGCAACCGCTTCACCGCCAAGCCAATCTTCAAACCTTCTGAAGAAGCCCCATCACAGAATTGGTACGCGCATGGTGGCCAACAAAGCGAACCGGGGTCGACATCGGTTCCCAATCCAACCTGCCAGCCTTCTCCTTGGCCTCACGGATGTGAACCAGCTCTCCAAACTCTAGAGCAGGCTTGTTCCACTTCTTGCCATGGGCTCGCTCATAGGCTGTGCTTCCAGAACTGTCCTTCCTGTACACGTTGATCGACTCTGCAGCAAAGTTCGCAATCCAGGACGTCAACGGGTGGTCATTAGGAAGGCTCATGTTCAGCTTTCTCTCAAGCGACAATCGCAAGGCCCTCATCTGCCTCTTCAACTTTCGGATTGCCACCTCAATGCTTCCATTGGCCTGATGATCTCCAACAGGCGAATTCTTGTTCACAATCTCGATGTCCGGCAGTGATGCCGAAACACTTGTCTTCAAAGCCATCAAGGCAGGTTCGTTGTCTGACATGTGCACCAGCCTCTTGTGCCCTGTCTCGGTGATGAAGCGGGCCATGCCTCTCTGTGTGAAACCGCTGTTGCTCTTGTCCGGCAGTGCGAAAGCTCCCAACATGCCCGATGGTGTCGACTTCATCGCCAAAAACGGCGACGACTGCATGAAGTAGAAGTCACTGTGCACTGCGGGTCCTTCCTCCTTTTTCTCCTCCTCTGTCCTCTTGCGATGTGGTGTTCCTGTCGATCGAGCTTTGATGCACACCTCACACCAATTTCTGTAAACAGCATGGTTCTGGGCCTCATGCTCTTCAATCTCTGACTTGGTGGGGTTCCTCACCCTAGTCGGGCTCCTCACCAAGATGCCATCAACTGCCTCCGGAACATACCAGAAGTGCGTTTCCATCTTGTGCACCATTGGCTCGAACTGCTTGTGGATCTCGTCAAAGGACATGGAGTCGTGGATCTTGTCATCGAAGATGAGCTCACCTGTCTCCTCATCGTAGCTCAACCTTCTGAACACCTGGGACCATTTGGGTCCTTCAGGCCAGGTGCCTCTTGTAGTGAAACAGTTGAAGTCCTTGCGGATGGCCAAAAATGCCCCTTCAGGGATTCCAGCCGGTCTTGCCTTTGGCGTCAAGCCAACTTCAAATTCTTTGGGGTTCATGTAGTCGACGGTCTCTTCCGCCAATGCCCAACCCCTCCATTGTGGAGATTCTTCGCTCTCCTCACCTTCTCCTTCCTCATCTCCTTCTTCCATCCTCTGCTCAGGGCCTCCTCCGCCCTGGTCTCCTCCTTCTCCATTGGGCTCCTCATCGACCGGACTTACGGCCTCACGGCCTGCCGCTCGTTTCCCGACGAGGCGGAGTCGGAATCTAAGGTTCCCAACTCCTGCAAGTCACCACGCTGCTTGAGGTAGATGTTGTACAAATTGCCCTCCTTGTAGAGCTTCAGCATGCCGCGCTCACCATTGACATCAATGAGCTGCTGAAGAAAGGCCCTCATGGCTTGGGCCATGCTAGTGTTCCTGGGGATCAACCATCCTCCATCTTCGAAGATGTAGGCGTCGTGAGTGGCACTGAACTCACCTGCAGATCCAAGCGGCTTGTGGACATGGGTGACCGTTGCCTTGAACCCACGTCGATGTCCTTGCTCATCAATGCAAGGCACCCTCACTCTGCCATACCTCGGGATCTTTTCACCATTCGCCACCCTGTAGTCCCCAACACGTCGAAGCTGCAAGCCCTGGGCCACGGCCATCTCGATGGGGATCACGGTGCTAACAGCTCCTGAATCGTAGTTCAACTTCAACCACTCTTCGCCCTCCACACTGCAAAGATAGGTGGGCGATCCATCCTCGTTCTCGGTGTTCATGCTGTTGTGGTCCACGTCCTCACGCACTGATGCTGACCCTTGGGCTGGTTCTCCTCCTCGAGATCGACTCCTTGTTCGACTGTCGTCTCCACTGCGGGTCAGTCCAGGCGGGATCGATGGTGTCCAGTCAGGCGTCCTCGAGAAATCAACTCCGACTGCACGATCTCGACTCTGGCTCGCCCTGATGGATGGGACACCAGTGAAAACTCTCCTCCTCTGCCTCTGACTGGATGCCTCCACTGTCTCCTCCTCAGCATCCTCACGCTCAGCCTCAACAGCCTCTGAACCAGGTGCCGCTGCGTCTCCTGATGCACCTCCGACCTCTGAAAAGAGTGCGTCCTCCTCTCGCTCCTCATCTGGGCCAAGTGGGGAGTAGACCTGAAAGCGCTCACCTTCTCCATCACCAATTGCCGACAGATCCAAATGCGACAGCTCCGGCTCCTTCTCTGGCTGCTGAGATGCTTGGCGTCCATCTTCAACTGAATTTGCTGAGCCTCCTTTGCCTTTGCCCTTCTTGAAGCCTCCATCTGACTTCCCCTTCTGACCACTCTTGCCTTTGCCTTTGCCGGTGTTGCTCCAGCAATCCTTTCCATAGTGGCCATACTTCATGCGCACCCAACACTGCACGTTGTCCATCCTCTTGCTCTTAAGTGGATCTCCTTTGTTGGATGTCTTGCCTCCTCCTTTGCTTCGGCACTCTGATGCCTTGTGCCCCAACTTGCCGCAGGCGTGGCATGTCATCTTGTTGGCGTTGTTGCCGGCCTTGCCACCTTTGCCTTTGCCGCCCTTTGACAATGCTCCCAACTCCGTAGGATCATCTTTGGGACCTTTGTTGCGGCTTGATCCAAGTTCCCTCCGACTAAGATTGAGGGAATGCCTGGTGGTGGCATAGCTGCTCAACTTATCAAAGAAGCTCTCGAAGTCGCCGAACTCGTCTGCTCTGAGCATGAAGGTCTCCTCAAGCGACTCTGGCATCAACCTGTAAAGCCCGGCAATCAATGAGTCGTCCGACACAACACAAGGATTGTCTGCATTGTCGGTGAACTCCTCATATTGCTTCTTCTTGGTCAACCAATGCTCAAGCGAACTCCCCAACTCTTCGACCGACTTGCACTTGCTGGGGTTTTGAACCATGCTCAAAATTGTAACACGTCGCATTGAGCTCGTGGGGTCATACTCATTGATCAACCTCCTCCAGGCCTCAAGGCTATCTGTACCTGAATTGCGGACCACTCGGTTGGCATCACCTGTTGTAAATGAAGTCAAATAGGCTCCAAGACCTTCCAACATACTGTCGATGTCGTCGATCTTCTCAATGTCATCTGCAGCGCTGCCAAACACGTCATTCCAAGTCACCACCTTCGTCTCTCCATAGTGGGCCTCCTTGACGATGGTCTTGCGCTGCTTGCCAGCCCATGACAACACAACTTCAACATCTCCACCAAACTTGGCCTTCGCAAAGGTCTTGAACTTGTAGACCCACTCTGAAAAATCCTGGTCGCTCTTACCAGAAAATTTGAAGGGCTGTCCAACACCTTTTGTATCAACCAACTCACTCTTCTGCGATCCGGCCAGCCTCAAAGCAATGCTCCTCTCTTCTTCTGCTCGAGCCGCTCTGCCGAATGCATCCTGTAGTTGATGCTGCAACTGCATCATCTGTTGTTGATGAGATAGCAGCATTTCCTGTTGCACCTGAATCTGGGCTTGCAGGTCTAAAAGCGGGTCCATCCCCTGTCCGGTAGGGGACCCCATCACAACCACCTCTTGCAGCTCTTGGTACACCTTCTCGATTTGTGCCCCTGAACCTTGGGGTCTTCACGCTACCATGATCGAGTCGTATACGCGGCGGGCTGAACTTTTGGGCCACGATGCTCAAACATCGAACAGAAGCTAAAGTGCATATATATATATATTGATATACATAGTCTCTCCAACGGAATATTCTCTAGCTCAAAAGCATTATCATTATATGTAACATATGATATCACCATATGCAGTGGTTGACACAAGCCCGGAGAAAATGCACAACTCCAGAAACATTTTCTGAATGGAAGTCTACAGAATCCGATGAGAAATCACCGGCAACGGTATGCCTTCGGGCACGGCGGTCCTCACTAGCTGATCGCGCTGGACTGCTGTTGCAAACTCCAACCTGCAAGAAACGCCATGCAGAATTAACTCCCATAAATGAATGGAACCACAAGAAGCTACTAGGGGCTCCTGGCCTTACTACTAGGAACAAAGACGCTACTACGGGCTCCTGGCCTTACTGCTAGGAACAAGAAGCTACTAGGGGTTCTTCTTCAGTGCGAGCGCTTCAAGTCACACCTCAAATGCTGCCAGACCTCTGAGCCTGCGTGTCCTCTCCGCGTCTGAATTTAATCCGCTGGCCGAACTAAACATCATGTTTAAACATCATGTTTCTTGGTCACCCGTCTACATTTTACTATATGTTATTCATATTTGTTGACCCAACAAGCATGCTGAAGCAGCAGGACTGAACAAAATGACATTCTTCTATATGCAAAACAATTCTGCAAACATCTGCAAAGCCTTCCTCCCCACAGAATTTGCACAATGTCACCTCAGACATGCCCTCATCATTGGAGGTAGAGCTGTGCTCAGAGCCTGGTTCCGCTGGACGTTGAGTAAATGATCTGGAGGGATGAAACTACTCACTCCCCATAGCAATATAAAAAAATAGCGAGCAGCCCTAGAGGCTTCCTGGAGGGGTGCGTTGTTATCCCCTGTCCTTTCCCACCCTCAACAACTATCAATTTGTCATCAGGAAGTACCGGAGAGGAAACGTGTAGTATCCTAAATAGATGAGCTGAGCGGGTGTTGAAGCACAAACTCTGCGAGGTCAGGTAAATGATAGGCAACATTGGTCAAGTACGTATGCTCGCCTCAGTATTGTAAGCTGTCATTGCAAATCCCTCACGTGACATGCTTCAAAAACACCGTATTTGTTCAATTTTGTTCATGGGTGGGGGCCAAACCTGCGCCAAACCTGCCGTCCTGGCAAAGCTCCTGAAAGCCTTAAGACTTAGGAGTCAAATGGAGTCAAATTAGCTCTGAGGCGAGTCGCTCGAGCATCGGCTCTCGCTGTCATCTGCGAAGGAATTCTCTGCCTCTGAACCTGAAGGCATTCTCACTGTATGCAGCGAGAGCAAGTCTAAAACCACGAATTCCAAGCGGAGCTAGTCATTCGAGAAAGCCAGTTGTGTCTGAAGTGGAATCTGTTGCACCTTTGCATAGGCCCACTTAGGATAACGCAAAGGGTTCCCAAACGCCTAGAGTATACAGGTGGTCACTTTAGCTCAAATCTCACACTGCCCAAAGGCCCTGACTAGGGCAAAGCTTCACCAGAAGCTAACAACATCTGCTTGTGTTATATTCAGATGTTGTGAACTTGGCAACTCGTGTTGGAGTTTGGCTCCTGAAGCGTCATGGCGCGCCTCTGTCAGACATGTCAGAAACAGACCTCGCGTCATCGTCGTCATCTTCGAACTCACCGTGCAAGTCCTGGACACAGAGGCATTGGCCTCACTTCATAGTAAACATTTAACAAACATGAACAAACCAACAAGATCTGACAAGCCATCACATCACCTCATCCATGCATCCTCTGAGCAAACATGGAGGGGTTGGTGAAGGTTGCTACAGCATTCTTTAGCAGGTTGTTTGAACAACTTCATGCAACTTGTGACCTGGTCCTTGACCTTACTCTTCATGCAACTTCATGTGTGGACCTAGGTGGCCTTCTTCTAACCTTCAAGTCTCATGCCAAGCTGTGAACGATCTCCTCTGGGATGCTTGACAGGGAGTGGGAGGACGCGATCGGATCTGAGGACCTGGAAACTAGGAACAAAGGGCATCGCTACTAGGAGCAAGGAAGCTACTAGCAGCTCCTGGCCATACTACTAGTAAGAAGAAGCTACTAGGAACAGGGGCATCGCTGGGACGTGTCAACATGATGTGCCATGCACCAAAGATGCATCGGGACGTGAACATGATCTTGTTTTGATGCTACCACCATCCACGGGTCTTCTGCTGACACCAGCACCTTGTGACATCGTTGATGCAACATTCCAAAGGATATGTGTCCTTTCCACAATACTACATGGGGGGTCTTAGACACCAACCCAGCTTCAGAGGACACAAACCATCTTGGGTTGGAGGACACCAACTACTCTGTCTTAATTACTCAGCCCATCTTAAGCCCAACGGACTACGGGCTCACCTACATTCCTCCCTCCCTGGACTTCCACCTGCCTCGATCGATGCGATCGGTGTGGCACATTGCGGAGGTTCCGGCTTGGCCGCCGGTGCGAGCGCTTGAGGCCCGACCTGCGAAACGAGGATTCCTTCTCCGGGAATGTCACACTATATAAATCCATCTAAATCCACAATAATCCCCAGTACCTATTAAACACTCCCCATATTCAAATAAAAAACAGACACGTCTGAACCCCCTATAAATACGGTTTACAGCCCTTTAACACCGCTACTAAGCTAACAACATGGCCGATGTTTGGTTATGTTTTAACACTAGGTTTCAAAAGCAACCCCAACTGCCGACCTCTGTCCACCCTGTCCATCCTCTGTTAGTTGTTAGTCTAATGAAGAATCACTATTTTAATATAGGTTGTTGTAAGGGAAAAAGGAATACCCTTCGATCTGGAGTTTTTTTCATGTTTGATATGCGTTTAATAAAGGATTTTGTATAAACATTTCCTGGGGTGGCTTTTTGGTTTTGAAGCTCTTCCCCGGTTTCTGGACAAAATCTCCACTTCAAGCTTTACAAAGCGCTGCGCCTGCCAGGAAATCTGCATTTCATAAAAACATATATATATATTATATAATCAATGATTCAAGGATCCTCCCACTGACCCTATTTTGGACAACCCCAATTCAGGGCCCCCCTAGTTAAAAAATGCATCCGAGTTTTTGTTGATGAGGGGGCCCCCGGAAGGGGTTATTGTATGTTATTGTGCTGTCACTGGCTTTGTCACTTTGTGCATGGGGCATATTAATTATGGACTGAAACTTGTTCTCCTCATTGGATTCCCCTAGCAAGGACGCACTAGGGGCTCCTGGCCTTTCTACTAGGAGCATTTGCTCTAAAGGTGTTCCCCAAGAATTGTCCGAGTCTTGGCCGAGATGAGGTCTTCCCCTGCCTGAGCCGGGCCAAGTCTTCCAACGTCAAGACCGGATTGGGCTTTGCCACATCCCAAAGCACGGAGACATTCTCATCGGAACAGGTCACCTGGAAAATGGTGCAGCTGGATTTGGCCAACAGCTTTTGAACCGTGTCACCTTCAGCCACTAGGCCAACACAGTGTATCTTCATCATGAGGCAAGTCTGACGTCTTTGCTGTTTGGTATCGATATTTAGTCTCTGACTGGTGTAGTATTCTAAATGGTTCTAATTCACATGTTTACTCAACATACAATACCATTTCCAAAGCATCCCAATGTCGTTCCAAACACCCAACCCCATCCCACAACCACACCTGCATGCGAATGCCCATCATGCATTCGTTGGGGTTCTCTTGGTCCGCGGAAAGCAGGAAGCACTGCGCTGGTGTGTCGCGCTGATTCCCAGGCCGCAGCAGGTGCAAGGTGCGCCCCCGCTCGAAACCTTTGAAGGTGACCTCATTGAAGGCCTCGAGCGCTGAGCACTTCGCTGAGCGCTGAGCGAAGATCAGCATCGCAAAGCAGCTTAAACGTGTTTCCCGGCACTGAACAAAACGGATATAGTATTTATACATTGAGTGCTTGAACGAAGCATCCACTGTGGAGTGTGGAGACATACGTGGTACGTGGACGCAGGAATTGGACAACTATGGTGTTACTGTTCTGACCAGTCTTTAGATTAACTTCAGTTGTGCAGTTGAATGTGCAGCCACGAAGGCTCGGCACTTCATCCCTGGCTAGTAGGCCCTGCCTCCTTGAGTGAATCGGTATCTTCAGGCTTGATGAGCTGCAAGAGCGGGTGGTGCGACTGCAGCTTGCAGCCAAAGACCTCGGCAACAATCAATCCCCAAACAGGCGGCAAACAGCGTGTAGCCACCTCTTTTGGTGTGAGCAAGCGCAAACAAGCTTAGCTTGCTAGTTTGATGATGCTTTATGTATTTTGTATCTGTATCTCTTCAAAGGAGTCCACCCCGAGCCTTCTCTTCACCCCAGGCATTGAGGACTCGATATTCCTGCCATCAACCAATCATGAATTTCAATCAAATCCAGTCTTCAACTAAGACAAAAAGGCCACCTCTAAGATAGAAAAGCACGATGATAACATCACAAGCAGTGTTGCAAACATAAGCATCACAAGCATGATTTCACCTTTTGCGGCACGCCTGCGTGTCAACTAACAGAGTGGCATCAAAGACCATGTGGCACATACGGCTCCACCATTTCTGCCACCTACGGAAGGTGACTCGATGGCCTTTCTTAAGCACTTGCAGCAAGAGCTTACCTCTACATTGTATGCTAGGGCATGCTTTTTTTAAATACTAATATAATTACATGTGTGTATTAGATGTGTATAAATATATGTATATATATATATGTGTAATGATACATATATGATACATGGTCTTTCTTGCTTCATTATCGCTCCATTTAGGCCCTTGAACACAAATATCAACTTCCCTGAAGCTCAGCTTGACCCCAGTTGGGGCAAAACAACCCAATGGCTCGCAATGGCCCGCCTGTCGCCCATGACTTTGTCAATGAGCATTGATGTGACTTCCTGCATAGAGCCCGTGACTTCGAACTGGCTTCCCAAGGTGCATTCCTGGATGAGATGACCTTGCACCTGGCACGGAAAGGATGAGCAAACCGCATACAGGAAGGACAAGGACAGAAAGAAGAAGACTCCACCCAGTCTATGCGTCTATCCCTGCTGGAAGAAAGGAACCATGGATGATTGACATCTTTGCAAGATTTATTGTCTGAACTCGGACTCTTCAAGTAGTTATTCTGCGAGGTCGCTATCACTTCACTGTCACTTTGTTCCCGCACCTTGTACCATTTGACGCTTCCATTTGGAGCCTCAAAGCAGAACTCATAGCCGAAGTCTGTGGTGACCTGAGGAGGAAAGAACATAGATCAGGAGGCTGGAGAACCACGCCAGCAAATTCCACAACAGTCTGTGGAAATCTATGGAATATAAAGGGAATTCAACTCCCTCGCGGCCAAGAGACAATTTCAGTGCTTGCGCCTTGGCACTTCTCTGGAGGTACTTGTCCTTCTTGGAAGCCTTTTCTTCTCATCCAGAAGTTTTGGCCTCGGTACTGGCACCTCTTGAAGCCCCTTAAAACCTTTAAGCAACAACTGACGCCCCACTGAACCTTCCACTGACTATGGCTGCAATGCTCCAAGTGTCCATGAATGTCCATCGTGTCGTTTGAGTCATGAACACACTGCACAAGTGAGTTTGTAGCCTGCTTGCACTGCAAGCTTGGCCCTGCCCGCTCTGCGGGTGCAACTCAGTGGCACATGGTCTTCAGGATTGATACGAAGGATGCGCGCCACAGGACCATGCGCGGATCGCAAATGTCCATCTGCGCTTGCTGCGAGATCAAGTGCTCGATCTCCCTCGTCTTGCTGTCCTGGGCAATGGAACCCGCAACAGGAATGCCAAAACAATGGCCGGTGCATTGTGGTCCAAGCAACTAATAGATTGATCATTGATCGAAATTAACTCATCACATCTCATAACCCTTTTTGATCATTTTGGACTTCTCAGCCCAGGCACCGTGACCACACCGGTCTTGGCGTTGCCTTTCAAGGACCACACCGCTGCGCCACAAATGCGCACGTAGTTGGCCAACATCTTGGATTCTGAGCGAAGCTCGGTGATGTCCTGGTCTACGGCGAGAAGCCATTGCTTTTAGCATCTGCCCAAGCTGAGGTCGCATGTGGCATGCTTGACAGTGCAAGTCCGGGGGCACTCATGCCAGGTCTGTATCACGTCGATGCGTATATATCTATATCACCACTGGAGCAGGAATGCAAGGTCTAGGACCTTGAAAAAAAACATCGAGGCGTTTGACTGCACCTGATGGTAAAGCAAGTACGGCAACCTCTGTATCCTCCACATTCTTCCTTTTATATACTAATATATATATATATATCACACGTATACAGTATATTTATATATTATGTTTACACGATTTTACATGCATGTAATACATGCATATACAAGTATTGCAACGCACTTCTCATGGACATTGATCGATGAATCAACAACCCAATAACTACATTCGATCGACCACCCCCCCCCCCTCTCAGTCATGGCCAATGCCAATCACGCCCACGATGTTGCCATGGCGGTCACGTCGTCCAGTGGCACTCCAAAGGATATCTCTCCGGTGGCCACTCTTCGTCCAAAGCGAGAATTCGTAGTTGGTGATTTCCTGCCAGCGGGTTCCACAATATCTTTTCGACAAATGCCTCAACACGAGCTCTTCAACATGATCTGTGAGAAAGCCGTGGCATAATAGTACAAAATTGCATAATTATTAAATGCGGGCCAGGAAAGTAAGTGCTTCTGTAAAGGCTCGCAATGGCTGTCTTCAACCCCTCACGAAATCTCCTGGCCGTTCATGCCCTGGGAGAGCATCGTCTGTACAGAGTCGGAAAACCTGAGTGGAGCTGTCGTCAGCTCATTCAAGAACCCCCTCAAAAGCCCTTGGGAGAAGGCGTTTGGTGAAGGTGAGAGGTCGCTTACTGGCGAGTCTCAACAATGCAGCAACAAAGTGCTCTCTAGCTGAATCATGCTTCATTGCAACATCTCCCTTAACCCGATTGAAACAAGAATCTTCTCAAAAACTGTTCATTCTGCAAGGTTGCTGCCAAGTCAAACCGAGACAATTTATATGAACTCAAATGCGGTTTAACAGTTAGACAACCAGAGTGTGGGTAACTCAGGCCCCCCACCCTCCTATACACAAGCGACACAGAGGGAAAGCGGGCTTG